CAGTGGATCTTCGCACACCAGCAACCTTCCGTTTCTCGGGTCACTGGAGCCAACGTCTACAACTGACATGCCACACAATTAACTTTCTGAACTTTGAGGGCCAGTAAGTCACAAATTCTAGCTACTGTGATTGTTTGCGACCTTGCTGCAGCACGAAATAGTGAAAAAACGCATGATCGCACCGGCTTGCCTGGTGCGTTCCAGCCTGGGTTTTGTTTCATCCTTATACCAAGAATATTTAAAACTGCTCGGACTGTCGGTTCAAATATTCCCTGTTTGGTGTTACTGTGATGTCTTCACACGCCGAGCACAACTGTGCCAGGCTCTTCGATTCCGGGCTGCATGCCTCCAACTAGTATCCATCCCCTGTTATGTGCATGTGCTTCACCTCTTCGGGGAGTGGTCACTTAGTTTCCTGTGGGCACTGCTTGTTCATCCTCATAAAGTTCATCATCTTTTTACTCACAGATTCATTCATTATAATTGAACTGCTAAAAAGCAGTTGTACGTGCGGGCTTCACTGACCGGAACTTCAGAAATATGTGCTTTCATGGAACAGCAAGCACCTATCTTGTAAGTTACGTATGCGCCAGTAATTATTATTTCGACATCTGCCGGCTCAGCTTCGTTCAGTGGTGGTTATCGTCAAAAAGACAAAACTCAGTTGTATTTCACTCTCTGTTAGGAGCGGTTATGCTGGGAAAGCGAATGATGGCACTTTGCCTAAATGCTGACAAAATCCTCAGTGGCTTCTTCTTCAGAGATTTGCTTTAATTCCGAATTAAAAATAGCTCTCGCTTTGGGTATGCATCAGGACCTGTTTGCCTCTGGGATTTATAAAGGTTGATTTTTTGGCGTGTGGAACCGAACGCTGAATTGAATTTGACAGGAGTGCAAATTGTCTCACTCCAATGCCTTATTTTCCAGTCACTTTTTTACAGTTATTTAGCGATTTTGTGATTTCAGAATTTGTTCTCTGTGTATGATATCGTTTCGAGCCGAACTTATGCGCCGCAGTTACCCGATGTACCGTATGAGGTTGATGATGATGACGGTATTGCCGTAAAATTAGTTCGTTTGGTCAAAACTAGTGAAGCACTTGGTGCTACGATAAAGTGTGATGCGGATGGGAGGGTGTTTATTGCCCGAGTGATTGCCGGAGGAGTTGCTGACCGGAGCGGTAACATTCAGGTACGAGTGAATTTCTATAGTTTTCAATAGTTTTTTGTTAAATCACAATGGCACGTTCAAAACTCAAATGCATAGGGTGCATGTCGTGCCGTTTTGGTAACGTAAACGACGTGCAGAAGAAAAGCTGCCAACAAAAAGAGGGAAATTAAAACTATAAATTGCAGTTCTGCAAAAATTTTTCAAAAAATTGCAAACTCGGCCGTTTTATAGTATCTGGACAGAAGAATTTGCATAGAGTAAGGATACAGTCGCAGTGCCATTTGGCAGACCATTGCAGATTTCTCGATTCTTCATCGTTTTTACACTGTTCTGTCGAAAATGTGTATTTTTTTTCCTAAATAAATTTATTTAGGACGGAAATTTTGGATAAAATTAGCAGTGAACGTCCGAACTTTTTTTTTTATATATTTCGAGATTTTCTTACTATTCCAGGTGGGAGACCGAGTTCTGGAAGTGAACGGTGTGAG